TGCTGTAATCTGTGTTGAGGCACATTGACCTTGCTGTAATCTGTGTTGAGTCACATTGACTACATTACCAGGGCTGTTGAGGTGAAGGATTTAGGGTGTGGCACAACAGCACAATATACAGTATTATTGTTTTTTTTTTTTGCAAATAACTTAATTTATCCCGATTTTAATGCTGTATAAATAAGCCTTATTGTTAGGCTATATATGTGGCTTTTAAATACACACATTCTAGGACCCACCCACAGTCCCAGGAGTTGGTCATGAACGTTAAAAAATCATTCAAATTGTTTTTTTGTTATTTAAAAAAGTCAAAAAATGATTAAATTATAAACACGTAAGTTTGTGTCCTTTTTAAGTTGTTTTCCGATCATAATGGCATTAAAATAAATATAAATATTATTTAAACTATAAATGTAAACATGTTATTTAACCATGGATGCCACTGGAATTGTGCACTTCTTGTTTGTTTACAAGCACCCACTGCTCATAGCATGCTGACAAGGGTCCAATGATTGATGTCCGTCACAATCCTTTATTCAAAAAAACATGCTAAATCGGGCAAACAAAAACAAACAACCCATATACTTGGTGCCAGTGACATCATCCTTGTTTACCAGTGGATTTCAACACGTAAACTTCATATGCACGCAATTCACAGCTTTCGCTGTCGTGCATTTTAACCTGTATATGCTAATTTGTACTTCATTTATGGTATAAAGGTTAAAATGCATGGTAATTTCTTGTCTAGCAGTGCAGCTGCACATGAAGTACGTACGGATTTGTGCTGTCGCAACAATCGATTGCCACGCATAACGCTTTTCTTGCGTACCACTTTTTTGCATCCCTGTGAACAGACAACACTTATAGTGGTTTTGCCTGTTTTGGCAGTCCGTCGTTCAAAGCAGTGCTTGTGCATTTTCTCTTCAGGTGCTCATGCATAGCACTAGTGCCGCTGTGGTGTGCCATTGAAACTTTGCACAGTGTACAAATTACCTTTTTATTTTGTGATAATTTTAGCTACTCCCATCATTATGTAGTAATATTGAAGGAAAACATTTAAACAACTGAAACGTTTTAAAAATCAAGAGGTAATTTCAGTAAAATAATTTTTAAAAACGATGCGTTGATTTAAAATATTGATGTCTACATCAATGACTGCGTCGACAATTCGCGGCAGTCCTAATACCATATATCGCAAGATGTTTTTTTGATTATTGCTGTATATTTTGCTTGGTAACAACATGCTAGTGTAACTGGCATAATTTTAATAATTATTACCGTGCTAAATCAGGATATTATCGTGTGGAGCCACAGCGCAGGACTTTGTGGCAACTCCAGTCTGTAACTGGAACTGAGAAGGACGGCTGTGAGCGCTCTGAGGGCAGATAAGGAGGCGTTTGTTAGAGGAATCTGTGATCAAGTGACACACCATCTAGTGAATCGAAGCATTTCGTACGTCTGAATCTGTTCCTCTGAGAGCGCAGATGATGGAACGGTCCTTACAGATGACACTGCGATTGTGACCCGCTGGGCTGGCTACTTTGAGCAGCTGCTTAAAGCTGATCCTCTAGCTATGATGTTGGATGTCTCTGGGTCCAGAGTTCTTGAGGTTTATCCTCCGATCAGCTATGAACCACCCAGACTCACTGAGATTGGGTGGTGAATCAGCTGGGGGCAGGGAAGGCCGCAGGGATCTGTGGCATCCGGGGTGAACTTCCCCAGGCTGGAGGTAAGGCTGTCCTTCTGGCGTTACAGACAGTCTTTGCTTCCATTTGGGAGACAGGTGTCATCCCAACTGACTGGAAAATGGGACTTGTCTGGGATTGTGAGTGTCCTGGATAAAGACAAAGATCCAGGCCTTTAATGACTTCTTAGGCACAGCTATCAGTAGTGAGTCGGTCTGCGGGGAAAAAGTCAATCTCGTCGAGAGATTCACTTACCTTGGCAGTGACATTCATGTCTCTGGTGACTCTTCCTATGAAGTCAGCTGACGGATTGGGAGAGAATGGGGGGGTCATGAGGTCACTGGAAAGGGGTGTGTGGCTCCCGATATCTTTGCAAGAGGACGAAGGTCCAAGTCATTAGAGTCCTGGTGCTTCCTGTCTTGCTGTATAGCTTTGAGACATGGACGCTATCCAGTGAGCTGAGACTAAGACTGGACTCCTTCAGTACTGTGTCTCTTTGGAGAGTCCTTGGGTACCACTGGTTTGACTTTGTGTCGAATGAGGGGTTGCTAGAGTCCCGAATGAGGTACATTACCTGCATTGCGTGGGAGCATCAGTTACGGCACTACGGCCATGTGGCGTGTTTCCCTGAGGGTGATCCGCCTCACAGGATCCTCATTGCTGAGGACTGGAACGAATGGACCAGGCCAAGGGGACACCCAGGTAACACCTGGCTGCGTCAGATGGATGGCATTTCCGGAGTGGGACTTGTGCACTGAAGTGTAAAACAAGAAGAAAAAAGAAAAAAACCTAAACATAGCGACTGTGGAGAGTGCTTGCCGTCCCTGTGGTTGTCTTGTCAATATCCTGGTATTGCAGTATTGCACATTAGCTGTGTGGCTGTAATCTGTGATGAGACACATTAACTATGTTGCTGTAATCTGTGATGAGACACATTAGCTGTGTGGCTGTAATCTGTGAGGTACATTAGCTGTGTGGCTGTAATCTTTGTGTTGAGGTACATTAGCTATGTTCCTGTAATCTGTGCTGAGACACATTAGGGTCTTGATGTAATCTGTGTTGAGGCACTTTACCTATGTTGCTCTAATCTTTGTGTTGAGGTACATTAGCTATGTTGCTGTAATCTGTTGAGGCACATTAGCATGTTGTAATCTGTGTTGAGGTACATTAGCTATATCTCTGTAATATGTGTTGAGGCACATTGACCTCCTTGCTGTAATCGTTGTTGAGGCACATTGACCTCCTCAGGGTTCCCCCTGGAGTTTGAATTCAATTCTTCACTTTTCTTTGTATTTTTGCTTCTACTAATCAAATTCTTCACTTTTTTTCAGCATCCGTTTTTTTTAGTCACTCTCGCTGCTTCTTAATAAATTAATCATTAAACTCACTGAATTGTGAATACTATGTAAAAATTTGCGTGCTGGCGTGCTGAAAACATGATGTATAGTACGCATTTCGGAAATAATGTTCTAATTACTATATATATATATAAGGTAAGCTAATACTTTCCCGGTGTTTCATAGTTCCCTTGAGAGGGACATTCTAAAATGCTTAATGTGAAAATGCTTAATGTGGTTTAATGTACCAAAATAGCGACCAATAATCACCAAATTTCGCACACACACATCTGGTCATAAACACTTTCACTTGACAAAAAATCAAAACCGAAATACAAGGAATATGGACTTTATTTTACGTTAAGCGTTTTCCCCTCCATTGACGCCCATTATAAGGAAAAGGCTTAATGTAACTTAAAGTACCAAGACAGCCACCAAAAATCACCAAATTTCTCACGCATATATCTGGTCATAAACACTTTCACCTGACAAAAAATCTAAACTGAAATATAAGGAATATGGACTTTATTTTACGTTAAGCGTTTTCCCATCCATTGACGCCCATTATAAGGAAAAGGCTTAATGTAACTTAAAGTACCAAGACAGCCACCAAAAATCACCAAATTTCTCACGCATATATCTGGTCATAAACACTTTCACCTGACGAAATATCAAAACCGAAAAATAAGGAATATGGACTTTATTTTACGTTAAGCGTTTTCCCCTCCATTGACGCCCATTATAAGGAAAAGGCTTAATGTAACTTAAAGTACCAAGACAGCCACCAAAAATCACCAAATTTCTCACGCATATATCTGGTCATAAA